TGAATTGCATTCCGAGGTGAGACATTCCAATAAAATTATTCCAGTCTCCTATGCAAGCACTCGAGTCTATTTCCTTTATTAATTTATTATTGATCAATCTGAAGAAATACAGCTTAATGTCCTTATCAGGAAACTGGACTGGTGAGAGTCAGATGAAATGATTAAGTCTGAAGAATTGTTGCAAATAAACATCAAGCTATTTTACAACATTCTGCTTTTTAATACAGATACTTATGATTGCAATTGAGCCCAGAATTATAGTCATACGTCATGCCAATCGTTAAGAGGGCCACGACATGACCGACCCAACTTTACATTTTTTTTTACAGTCTTTGTTAAGCAAATCACCATGGTCATGAAACAAACCCATTGTCTGCAATGGACATTTTTTTTGCCAGAAACCAGAAGTAAATGTTGGTTTCCAGCAAATGAACATCATAAATTGTGGTCACGTGACTGCAGGATCCTGCAAACAGTCATAAATGCATGCTGATTGCAGAGTGCCCAAAGTATCACATGATTGCAGGTGGGGGGAGGAGGCTGTCGTAACTTTGAATCCAGACTGTATTTTGAGTCCATTTTAATTTAAACGTGACCAGTCGTAACTTGAGGATTACCTGTATTGAGAACTCTATAGCCAATATGACTGAAGACCTGAAAAAACAGCAGTACATAGAATTTCTCAGATACAGACCAGCCTACTCCAGGTTTTTTCGTGCCCAGCAGATACAGCTGAACATGGCAAAGAAAGAACCCATGGAATGCAATTTTCTGTAAGAGCAAATTGATTAGCTAACTGAGAAGGATACACTCCTAGTACCTGAAGGAGGCAATGTTCTGTCATGGCTCGGTAGCAGGCTCTATAACTCTTCATTGTGGGCTTGTCTCCTAAGCAGTATCCCCATTTCTTCACCATGTGAAACCGCTTGGCATGCCAGATATGTGTTTCCAGCCAAATGTTTTTCTTCTGCCTGCGATTGAACTCCAGCACCAAGTTTATATGACGGCGCCTGGCTTTGCGGCACTTGCTCTTTGGAAGTGCTTTTTTCTGATGTTCAGGTTTCTCTGCCTGCGTTGTTGAAGCAAGGAATAATAGCATTCACTGCACTGTTTATTAAATTCAGATAGCCTGTGAATTGTGATCAGGGAAGGAACGGGAAGAAGACATAATGACCCAAAAATCAAAAAGGGTTATCTTGAAAAAAAAAAACTCTCAAGAATCACCAGCAAAAAATAAGGGGTGGGAGATGGGGGGGGATATCTGAATATTCAGAGGCTGCCTTGACACTTTATTGTGATTAAAAAACTTTTTAAAAAGAAATCTCACATTTTCTTCTAGACACAAACTTTGCAAACCTGGGTGACTCTATATATCAAGGAATCAAGTTCCAGAATTCTAAACACGGCCACATTGGCTGGAGAATGTTAAAGATTGAAGTCCTGTATATGTGAAGGGTATCTAGATCAGTGCTTATAACACTTGGCAGCTTTAAGCTATGTGGACTTCAATTCCCTAGCCATCTAGCTAGTGTGCAAAAATTACCTAGTGTGCAAGGTATTATGAAAACTAAAATAGGTAAAGAAAAAAAACTCACTTCTATTCTGGCAAGTTCACGGAGACGTCGTGGCAAACGTTTAACATTATGACTCATAGCTCGCCTCCTCATATGTCTAGGCAAGGACTGAAACACCAAAGTATTGGACGACTTCTGTTTAACAGCCTTCAACATAGCCTTAATTTCAGCAGCTCGAGCTTGCACAAAAGGAGACACTGGAAAAAGATATTTTGCTTTAAAAAGCAGTTTGACAAAGAGACAGTATTCTGTATTCTGAAGCAGATTTCCCCAAGAAAAAAGATCCTCTGACCTATCTATTCCTTCATTTTTATTTCTCTTTTTGCTTATTTACAATTTAGCAACACTGATTTAAGCAGCTGCTAATTCAATGCCAATGTCTGCTTATGTTTTGGGAAAACAATTGCTATTTGCATAATCTAAGAATCAGCTTACTGAAGAATATAGACTCCAGCAAACTATGTTGTTTGATTAAAACTAGAAACAAAACTTCCAGTATTTTTCTTGTGGCCATCCTAAGGATGAGCTCAAGGTTTGCTCTGGATAATTTTACAGTTCAACACAAAGGAAGATCTACAGATAAAATACAGCAGGGGAGTGGAGACAAATTGCACAGCAAAGTATAAGATCAGATCAGATTAAAAGTGGCTCTTCTTGCCACTGTTCTTGTATTTAAATCAGGGGTGTCAAACTCACAACGTCAGGTGACATGTCACGATGTATCGCGACTTTTTTTCCTTTGCCGGCAATGGTGGGCGCGGTTTTGGCATGACGCATCCGGCTTGCAGGCTGGCAGTTTGACAACCCTGATCTAAATGTAGATTTCACGGATGGATGGCTATTGTTGGATACTCACCTGTAATGAATTTTGGCATTTCATGAGAAACTTTTTGACTGAAGCCCTGTTGTGAGGTTTCCAAATGCAACTCTGTTGATAAATCGGGGGAAAGTTTTATATTATAAAATAAGGAGTGTACATAAAAATTTAGCGGCAAATGTCTATATGATAAATTAAGTATAAAAAATATATATTCTGTCATTTTCTAAAAAGGTTTGAAATGATTTATACTTCAGCATGTTGCCACACTACAGAATATATTGGGATGGTAGTACCCTTTACAAGTAAGTTATGTTTATCAGCACTGATCAAACAGATTCTGTAAACTTCATTCATATCAAGAATAACTATTAGGCCCAGCTATGGTGTAGTAACTATTAAAACCAGTTTGGAATAATAGTTAAGATACCAGTCTAGAAACTGGGATACCATGAGTTCTAGTTCTACCTTAGGCCCAGAGCCATCTGGAGGACCTTGGACCAGTCACTTTCTCTAGCCTTCAGGCAATGGCAAACCACTTCTGAAAAACTTTGTCAAGAAAACTGCAGGCAGGGAGGGAGGGAAGGAAATCTGACCTTGACTGATCTAAAAAGCTAAGCAGGGATAGATTGAATAAGTACTTGGGTGGGAGACCCCTAAAGTGCTCCAGTAGACTGAAAAAATATGCTGGAAGGAGACAGTAGCAAACCACTAGAAACCAGGAGATCATGAGTTCTAGTCCTCCCTTAGACTCAGAAGCTGGCTGGGTGACTTTGGGCCAGTAACTCTCTTTCAGCTCTGCCCAACTCATACCGGTAGGATTCTTGTTGTGGGAAACAGGTAGGGGCATTAGGTATGCCATCCTGAATTGTACAAAATAAAGGTGGAATATAAATCAAATCAAACTAATCAATCAATAAACTGCCAGGAAGTGTATATAAACTTGGAAAAAGCATTGTTTGTTCTTACAGTTTTAAAAATAATTTGAAAATGGGAAGAACGTTAAGTGGCAACGCCTCAGTCTTCATGTTCTACCTGTGATTCCAAGACTATAAGACAGTGAAGTTGAACAAGCAATAATAATATTCTCTAATGACCACTAACAGACCTCTTGACAAATTTCTTAAATTTATTTTAAGAAGTTTAACATTATTCAAAGATTTAGCTACTAAGCCCAATAAATACCTTGTTTCTTCCGCTGAGTTCTTTCACCTACATTCCAAAAATACGCTTCATTGTGACTTGGCCCAGCATCAAAGGGATAGGTCACACTAGCAGGTTGATTTTTCATTTTCTTGCCCCTTCTTTTTTGTTTTGCATTTGACATTTCTGCAGTAGAAAATGCTGCATAATAAAAGCCTTTATCTTTAGTGGTTTGAAAAACACAACAGAAGTTATAACACACATGCAGTATTTTCAAGCTGCTCATTATTTACATTTTTTCAACACTTTACTAAAAGAGCAACTTTAAAAAAAATATAGAATTAACAGTAACAACCTATCCCCAAAACTGAATGGCACCATGACACTAATGTACAAACATAATAATATTCATTATCACATACTATATGCATGTAAAGTGTACCCACTGCTTCCTTTTCACATCTCTGGAAGCAGTTAGAAATATTTACACAAAACTATAAAATTAAAAAATGAGCTGTAGTGACTGATAACTCTTGCAGTTATGTGCACTGAAAAATCTTTTGCATTTACATGCATTACCCTCAAGCTGCAGGGAAATATGTCAGCATCTGTCTTAGTGATGCTGCACAAATACTGTAAAAAGGTGCTGCTAAACCTTTTGCTGCTTTGGTACAGGAATAGTATAGTAATGCTTAACAAAAAAGCAACAACGGAAAAGATTTTGCTAATCACCAGAACTGGTGCTGAAAAACCGGGACCATGGCATCCTTTCACTAACATTTAAATTTCTGCAGCCTCACTGGGTACCCAACAGAACATCAGCAGGATTCTAATGAAGGTATTTTCTACCACCCAAAAACCATCAATCCGGAAGAAAATGGACTCTCCCCAAAGAACATTATTGCACAGGATAATCACACAACTGAAACTAGGCAAGCACTCAAAAACACTGCTGTGCCCACTTCTCCCGTCCTCACTCGCACAGGGACAGCTTCCTACAGGGCAGTTCACATGGAAAGCGCAATGCGCCTCTCCAGCCACACAGTGTTTTTCGGTTGCGGACATTCAGCCGGTGATCAGCAACCAAGCCTCCATTCCCTTCCTTCGACCGCGGTCTCAGGGCGCCCTGCCTTTTTGCCCATTCAGGAGCCAAAGAGTCACTCACCTTCCGCGCCCTCCTCGCACGAGGCTTCCAGCTCGGACGGAAGAAGGCGGGGCGCTTCTCCCCTGGAATCCGCTTCTCTCCTTCCACCAATTGCGTGGTAGCCGCTTCTCCGAAAAGCAGCCGCCTTCGAGACCAGCTCCTGCAACGCCTCCTACCTTGAAGACCACATGCCCCAGAATCCTTCGCGGCACCTACGGTGGGCGGCGAAGGCCCTAACTATGGCTCTTGTGAAAAACCGCGCGCGCTTTTTGGATCTGTCTGCCGAGGGGGCGGTGCCGCCGAGGGACGCGGGGCAGGGCTGGGTTTCGGGTGCGGGTAAAAGTTCGGGAGCAGCGAAGCGGCGGCTTTGTTGGCTTGGAAGTTGCCGAGGAAAGGGCTATTCCGCTGTTTCTGCCGCTATGGCTGCCTTAGTGAAGAGAATCATCAATACTACAAGGGCTCCCGCTGCTGTGGGTCCCTACAGGTAAGAGGGGGGCAAGTGAAAAGTGCTTTTTGGCACAGCTTAACCTGTGGAACTCGCTGCCACCAGATGTGACCTTTACCCAATTGGTTCTTCCCGGGTCGGTTCCAGCGGGGAGAGCACGGATTACCGCAGCTTCTGCACGGGGAGGAATGTCAAATGGGCTGTTTCTTCCCCAGCATAGGAAGAAACTGAACATGTTGTAGTATACAATAACTTGATTTGACAACTTTAGCTGTTTTACTGAAATGCAATAATGAAAGACATTTAAAAATATGTAGCCCTAAAACTGGTGTCGATGCTGCTTCTCAAAAGCATTGCAGCATCTGAAATATGTCCATGTTTAATATAGTTTTTTAAAAGGAATAAGAATGGGTTTGCTGTTGCATAGGTATAAAGCGTATATGTAATGGATAAGATGCCTATTAAGCATATATCTATCAAACAAAGTTAACAAAATGAACAACCAATCACACGAC